TGTCATTGCTCTGTCACACTGGGCTCTCTTCCCTGAGGACATGGGTTTCTTGAGGATCAGTCCTGGGACTGAGGCCTCTCTGTGACCCAGTGGCTGGCACTGCCTTCCCTGCCCACAGTCTTCCTGACTGTCCCTTTTCCCTGTGACTCCCCTGGGAGGCCAAGACTCAAAGTAGCTGCTGGGCCACCATCACAGGGCCCCACACAGAGCCTGGTGCTACCTGTGTCCCATCCACTCTACCCAGGGCCTGGCATGCAGTGGACATCAGGGGACCCTCCTGGCCAAGGAGGTGATGCTAGATGTCAGCCCCTCTGCTTCCCACTTGAAGGCTCTTAGAGGAGAGGGAGCGCCCCCAGACAGACTAGGGTTCACAGCTCACCCAGAGACCCTGGACAAGTCCCTTTCTCAGAACCTTAATTTTTTTCCTCTGGAAAATGGAAGAACAATTTTTTGGTGACAACGAGTGAAATCAGGAGTTTCAAGCAGCTGTACACAGTCGGTATTTAATAAGTGTTTATTCCACTGGGATGAAGAGCAGGACCTCTTCCAGGGGATGGGCTGAGATCTGGGATCTCCATGGGGGTCCTGGAGGAGGTCCTGAGAAGGCTTCCTGGAGGAGGGACCATCAGATCTCAGCCTCAAGGGCGAAGGCATCTGAAATCAGGGACGGCTACCCCAGGCGGGGCAATAGCAAGAGCTAAGGCCAGGAGGTAGGAAGAGAAGCAAGGGCAGGGTGGCACCCCGACTCCAATGTTTCCCTCTGCCTGTTTGCCAGGACACTCAGAAGTACACAGAGCCCTCGCTGTCTCCCTGGTCATCGAATTTCTGGATCTGAGTCTTGAGGTGCCTTAGTTTGCCCTTCAGGTAGTGGCAGCGAGCCTGCTTGTCCAGGAAGCTGGGGTCCTGAGCAGGGCAAGATCCAGGTAAGTCCTTGTGGCAGTCTGGCCTATGGCTCTCAAGCTGCTTGACCTTTTGCATTTTCCTCTCTGAGCCTCAGTTTTCTTTCCTTGAAACTGGGCAGGCACAAGTGTCCCAGCCTCCTGGGAGTGTGTGTGTGTGTGTGTGTGTGTGTATGTGTAGGGGGGTGCAAAGGACAGGCTGTAGGATTCAAGAGGCATAACTCACCAACTGCTTCTTCTCAAATTCCCTCCAGACACGGGCAGCAACATGGGCCTCCTTCTGCCAAAGGAGAAGGAAGGGGGTGCTCAGGGAGCACAGGAGCCAAGGAGGGATGGGGAAACTGAGGCTCAGACAAAGTGGACCTTGTCAAGGGCTGATCTTGGCCTATGTGCTGTGGTGCCTGCCCAGCCTGGAGGAGGAAGAGGCCCAGAGATCTGAACCCAGTGCGTTTCCGGAGGCCTGGGCTACCTGGAAGGGTTGTAGGATGAGGGTTTCCACCTGGGTACTAACCTGGCTTCGGGGTGGGGGCAGTGAGTTCAGCAGGGCCTCCAGCTGCTGGAGCTTTGCCTGTGCAGAGCCCACCTCCTGCTGAAGCTCCAAGAACTCTGGGTACTGGTCCTGGAACACTGCAGCATAGCGGCTCCGATCCTTCTCGCTGCTCACTGGTGGATACTTACTACCAGGTTGACAGGGGGTCAGAGTATGAGTGTAAAGAATTCCTCTCTTTTCCCCAATCAGTGTAATTTTTCTTTGTCCATGTTGGGTTCCTAGCCCCAAATGCCCTTTTTCTCTGTTTACTATTTGGTAAATAAACTCTTATTCACTTGTCAAAGCCCCAGCCTCAGTGCTCCTTCCATGTTCCCTGAAGTCAGGAACCACAGGGGGGCACTCACAGCTCATAGTCAGGCACGGGGTGGGGCCTAGGCACATGTCCCCCGGGGACGGCTCTAACAGACTTCTTGGAGCCCAGGAGGGTCCGGGAGGGCAGCTCATCCTCAAATACAATCTTCTTGGGCCTTGTCCCGTGTGCTCCGGGCTGAGGCTGGCACAGAGGGCGGGGCGCGCTGGGTTCGAGGCCTCCAGGCACCAGTCGCTGCAGATGCCGCAGGAATCATGGTTTGGAGTTAACGAGGGTCAGCCGGGATCCATTATACAGGGGGGAATGTATCCTTTGCCTAGGCTCAGCCTGGGGACATTCCTCCCGTTCAGACTCACCGGGGGACCAGGGCCAGGAGGGCGGGTTTGCAAGTTCCCCCGGGAGCCGCCGGTCTGCGGGGCCTCCCGGGTGGGCATCGGCTTCGGGATGGTGCCGCTCGGGCGTCCCCGCACCGGTGGGCGGGCCCTGCGGGGGGAGTCGTGGCCCGCGCGTGGCGGGGGTGGTCGGCGGGCGGACTGTGGACACAGGAGGAGGATGCGATTGGAGGAGGGTAAGGTGTGAGGACTCACGGGGAAGCTGCTCACGGAGCGGCCAGTTCTCCACCAGCGGCGCGTCCTCCAGCTCCGCCCTTATTTGCATAGACGCACGCCATTGGCCTTCAGAGATCCCCAGACCCCGCCGCCCAGTGCGTAACCCGAAAGAGCGCTGTGAACCGTTACGTCACCACGCAGCCCAGGATTGGCTCGCGTTAACCCCTGCGCGGCCGCAACCTCTGCCGCAGGCGTATGTGGAGCCCGTGGACACCGCCCCCGAGAAGATCCCCGGCATCTCCGGCCCTGCAGCGGGCCGCAAGAACCACTCCCTCCCGGGGTCACCTGTCCCAGCGTATGGGGCTCCGAGTCTGGGTCCGCTCCCGAAGAGAGGCGCTCGAGTCCGTGTAGTGCATTAACTACAGGCTGGACTCAACTGGCTGGGTCGCTCCGCAGGTCGGGGGCGGGGCCTGGCGGTATAGGGCGCGGCTGGCGGCAAGGGGGCGGGGTTTGGCGAACCTGAAAGTGGAACCGCACCCTTGCCCAGAGTCCAACAGAGACCACCGCTACCACCGTGTTTGGGGCTGGTGACCCACCCTTTCCGACCCTCAGTTTATTTGTCTGGAAAACTGGTGGTTTTGGAGAACTTGTATTTATCTATTTACTCATTGGTTATATGTATTTTTTCCAGCGGTTATATTTTTAAAATATTTCTTTAAATAATTATTGGAGGCATGTTTAGAAAATTCAGATAGAAAAGAGGCGTAGGGCAAAGTGAATTTCTCACCCACCCTTGTCTCCAGAGGCAGCAGTTAATTGTGTCTCCTTCCAGAGAGATTCTAATTCAATGACACATTTTCCTCACTACAGACAATACTGTAGAAAAAAGATTCAAGTGCACATTTCTTTGGCCGATTGTGGAGGATTATGTGGAACTCCTAGAAGTGAAATTGCCCAGAACTGCCCGGGCAAAAGGGACCTGTGTATTTTAATTTGGAAAAATACTGTCAAGTTTTTCCTCAGTGAGGTTGTGCCATTGATGCTCTAATCAGCTGGTTTTCCCACAACCTTTGCAAACTCAGTGGTATCACAGTTTCCTGTAAGTGTACTTTCAAAGTTTTAAATCTTGCCTAATCTAATATGGTGTGTGAAAAAAATTCAGAAACCATTTGTATTTCTTTTCCTATTTCCTGCAAGTCTTTTTTTTTTCTTTCTTTTTGATTTTTAGGAGCTTTCTGTATATCAAGGATGTTAATTTAACCAGATAGTGTATCTTTTACTATTATAAATGGTATCTTCCAATATATTTTGCAGCTATTTTTTTTTTGCATATAGTAGACTAATTTAAATATTCATTAAGTCCCTTGCTGGTTTACTAAATTCTCTTATTGAAATAGCTTTTTGTTAGTTTGCTTGGATATTTTATATAGACAGTTGCATTATCTACAAATAATTTTACCTCTTTTCTCATTTTAAAATTTCATTTTTCTTGTCTAGTTTCATTGACTAGCATCTCCAGACAATATTAAATCAAGGGAGGGGGTGGGTGGACCGTGGGCATCCCCCCATCCCCACCTCACTTTCTTCACTTTGATGGCAAAACTTCGAGTATTTGCCCGTTAAACTCAACACTGCCTTTGGCTTGAGGTTTTTCAGTTCAGTGAGGAAAACATCCATCTATTCCTTATTTTTAATTAAGAGACTTTGAGTAATGGATGCTGTGAACAGTACAAAGTACCATTTCACCCTATGATTTTTGTTTCCTGGTGCATTAATGTGGCCACTAATGCTTCCTAATAATGAACCATCCCTGAGTCACAAGCATGAGCCTCCTTCTTATGATCTATTTTTTAAAAGTTGCCACTAGAGCTTTCAGAAAAGCTTTAAAAACTGCCACTAGAGTTTTTAAAAGCTCTTCCTGGTGGTTTTGGGGGTGGGGTGGGGGTGGGGTCCACATGGGCAACTCCATGCATGTCATGCTCCCATGGTTTGGGACAGACACCTCCTGTCCACTCTTCCTTCCCAAGCTCCCTCAGTCACCCCCCTGACAGACTTTGCCCATGACATATGGAGTGGGGGTAAGCAGAGCGGAGGACCCACAGTTCCCCTGGACTCGCGCTCAATAATCCCTTCCAGGGTCCCAACTCCAATGCCCACCCAGTTCTTGTCTGAAGTGATCAGACTATGACCTGGGCAGGGCAGGGTCTCCACTGATTCTCATGTGTTTGCTGAATGACTATGTGAAGCATCTGCAATGTCCTAAGATCTTAGGCTGTGGCAGTGGGTGGGCTAAGCCTTGTCTCTGAATTATCACCTTCAATCCCAAGGAAGGCCCAGCACTGACACCCCTCCTCCAAGCTGGCCTCCACGCATGGCCCCACTCCTCCCCCACCCTCCAGACCTTACTCTGACCCCACAGGTATGTGTTTGACTCTGGCTCTATCAGATTGGGAGCTCGTGGGGCCTCTAGGGGCCCTGCCTTGTCCAGTGTGAGGTAGGTACCAGGGGGGAACGGGAGGGAGGTTTGCTGAGTCACTATCCTCCTCCCCCGCCCCCCCCCCCCAGCCTGACATCCTTCCTCCCCTGTTCATGTGCTCTCTGTGGCTCTCAGGGGCACCAAGGGCCTTCCCATCACGTTGCCCACCCCAAAGGTTCCCCTGGACAGGGGTGGAGGGCAGAGAGAGGACAGGTGAGGCGGGCCAGGCCAGGTCTTTATTTGAGTTTGGGCATGATACGGATGAAGAGGATCATGCCGATGAAGATGAAGCAGACGATGATAAGCATGGCCCAGAGCAGCCAGTTGACTGACTTCTGTGTGTGCTGCTCCAGCCGCTCAGATTCTGTCTTCAGCTTCTCCAGGTTCTGGTCGGCCATCTTGAGTGAGTGCGACAGGGTCTGAGGGTGAGGTGGGGAGAATATCAACAGGACTGGGTCCAAGTGTGGCCTCTTCCTACTGCACTGGAGCAAATCTACACCTCTTGGCCCTTGCTAGTGCTGTTTCCTCTGCTGGGAATGCTATTTTTGCCTTCTGCCAAACTCCTATTCATCCATTCAAGCCCCAGCCATAGAGACCTTCTGCTGGGAAGCCTTCTCTGATGCCCCAGGGCAGAAGCTTTAGAGTTCCCAGAGTCCTCATACCTGGTTGTCCTTCTTGATGACACTCTGGGCAGCCAGTGTGTGCGTCTTGAGGCTCCGTGCCAGGCCTAGCATCTCCTCCGCCAGCTTCTCCTGGAGGTTCTGGTGTCGCTGCAGGACGAGGTCTAGCTCGGCTGCTGACTGCTTCTCATCCCCTGGCCTGGGCCCTGCGACCCCACTGACCCCACAGATGGATAGACAGGTGGGTAGGAGTGGGTGTGGGGGGAGGAGGGAAGAAACTAACATGTTCTCAAGGAACCCAGAGGTTGTGGTTCCAGCCACTGCCCTGCTTGGGGCTGTTTCCCCTTTTTTGCCTTGGTTTCTGGGAAGAGCATCCTCAGAAGTGGCCTTTGATTGGTGGTTTATTTTTTTAATTTTAATTTAATTTTAATTTAAATTTTTGGCCATGCTGCACATCTTGTGGGATCTTAGTTCCCTGACCAGGGATTGAACCCGGGCCCTTGGCAGTGAAAGCATGGAGTCCTAACCACTGGACTGCTGGGGAATTCCCTGATTGGTGGTTTAGATGCTTCGTGGTGACGCTTTAGTGGCCCAAGGTCTGTCCAACCCCCCTGCCCCCAATGCTGCCCAAGCGCTGAAGATACTCACATTCTCTTCCTCACATCCAGTTCAGGCTCTGGAAGCAAAACAGGCCAAGCAGGAAGAAGGAGAGCATTGGTTTGTTGTTTTCCAGCTTCCTGACCACTGCCTGGGATGTGTCTGCTACTCGTAATGCCGTTTCTCATCTTGTCTGCTCCCCAGTGGGAGGGCTCCTGATCAGGCTTCAGAGTATTCCCTTCTAGGAGGTTTTCCTCATTTGGGCTCCCCCAGGTCCCAAGTCCTTCCCTCTAGCCAGCCTTGGCCCCTTGGGCTGGGAGTGTCCAACTTTGTTTCCTCTGGGGGCCCCTCCTCTGTCCTAGCACCGCTTCCAAGCATAACCCGGTAATGCCCCTGGAAACACTCTCCCTGGGCTGTGGAAGACCCTGTGGGAGCCAGGTTAGGCGAGAGGTGTGGGGCAGCAAGGACACATGTCTGCCCCAGGCCTTGAGTCCTGTTCTGCTCAGGATGACTCACCTTCACTAGAGTCCTGTGGGAAAAAAGGAGAGGCACGAAGTCACCCACCTTGCCATGCCCCCAGACCTGTTCTCTCTGCTCCCAGAAACTCCCCACCCTCAGTCAGGACCCTGGACAAGTCCTGTGCCCTCTGAGCCTCAGTTTTCTCATCTTTTTTTTTTTTTTTTTTGCGGTACGCGGGCCTCTCACTGTTGTGGCCTCTCCCGTTGCGGAGCACAGGCTCCGGACGCGCAGGCTCAGCGGCCATGGCTCACGGGCCCAGCCGCTCTGCGGCATGCGGGATATCTTCCCGGACCGGGGCACGAACCCGCGTCCGCTGCATCGGCAGGCAGACTCTCAACCACTGCGCCACCAGGGAAGCCCAGTTTTCTCATCTTTAAACTGAAAACAATAGCTTATATTTTGCAGGGTTTAGCTGATCCACATAAAGTGCTCATAGAGGCATTTGTCATCCTATTTTACAGATGAAAAAACTCATCTGTGTGTGGTGAGGCAGGGGCCAAACCTTACTCTGGCCAACTCTGGGGCTTAAGCAGAGATGTGCCATTTTTTTGCCTCGTATCAACACTCTTATTCATCTAGCAAAGCCCTGGCTGCAGTGCCTCTCTGTTGGGAAGCTTTCTCTGATGGTCCAGGGCAGAGTCTGTTGGGCCCCCTAGGATCCCTGCACCTGACAGTATTTGTTGTTCTGGCCACCCCCAGGCACTGAACTCCTGTCCCCAACCAAAGCTTCCCAGGGAACACGGAGGGAGCCCTACCGTTCCTAGCAGCTCACTCCGCATCTCACTGGTGTACCGTGCCCGTGACTGTAGGTGTACTGTCTTCGTGGCAGGTACCCGTTCCCTGGCTGTAGTTGGTACTCGGCCAGGGGCCAGGAACTGGTTGGCTAGTGCCTTCTCTGAGGAGGAGGTCTGCAGAAGAGGGCAGGGGGTCACCAGAGGGGCAGGTCCCAGATGAGCATGATGAAGGCTGAGGAGACAGAGGTGCCCCTTACTCACTAGCTTCTCTGCCTGCAGCATCCCCTTCAGAAAATCTACCTTGCGAGAATATTCATTGATCACCTCGGAGGCCGGTTTGCTGGAAGGGGAAAAGAGGAAACAGAAAACCTGCCCACTGTCCCCAGTTCAGGGAAGGGTCTTAGCAGGGAGGGGCTGGAGACCAGGGATTCCGGACTCTACTCCCTGCCCCGGATTTGAACACTTGTGGCCGCCTGCACTCACCTCGCCTGTGCCTTCAGGGCCTGCAGCATGTCCTCGAGGGCTCCCACGTACTGGGGACGAAAAGTGGGGTGTCAGCCCAGTGCCCCCCCACCACCGTCGAGCTCAAAGGGGTTAGAGCCACCAAGGGGCGGGGCCAGGTCGGGGGCGGGGCTGGAACGGGAGGAGCCAAGTATCAAGGAGGCGGGACCAGCTGAGCCCCAGGGAGGAGGCGGGGGAGCTGCGCAAACGGACGTGGCGGAGCCAACCGGAAGGGGCGTGGCCTCACTGGCTGGCGGGGTGGGGGAGTGGGGCCCGGTGGCCTCCGGCTGCGGGGACCACCCTCCGGGATTCGGGCTCTACGCGGACACACGGGCTTCCCTCACCTTTTCTAGACGCCACTCGTCCGGGTCCCGCTTCTCCGCTGCCATCGCCTCACAGCGGCACAACAGCCGCACTAGGTTCAGCTCCAGCCTCGACGCTGCCATCACCACCCAGCGGTTACCCGCCTCTTCCGCCGGCGCCATCTTAAGAGATGGCGGAAGTGTCTTTCGTTGGCCTCCTTCCGGGGGGAGGTTCCCGGTTTGCTCTCTCATTCTTATTTGGGGCGCTCTCGTTCTTGTTTGGGCGTTTGCTCTTTCAGTCTTGTCTTGTTTCAATTAGAGGCGCCATCCAGTCCGTATTTACTCAGGACTCAATCGCTTGCTTATCCTCGCGAGCATCTTAACCCTTCCGGAAGGGCTGAAAGGGTCGAGTCCTTCGTTTCAGGCCCACGTGCAACGCGTGACATGCTCATTACTTACCCCCTGCTCAAAATTCCTCCCCCGCTCCCCACTCCTTCCTGGGTTCTTCCCACACTGAGCTCTTCCGCATCCAGGTAGCCTGGGGGAGATTCTCCTGGGGGAGAGGCTCTGACCTGGGATTTAGGAATCCGAGACTTACGGGCTATGATTTCCAAACTTTTGCAGCTGTGATATCCCATCCCAGCCCTGACTCTGACTCCACCTCCCACCGTGGCCTTCTACGAATTTCTTAAGTTTTTCTGGACCTGTCTCCTCCCTTGGGAAACTGGCAGTGTGGCAGTGACATGGGCTAAACCTGAGAGTGAGAGGTCACCCCCAATGCCCAGACCCCCATGGACGGAACCCCCCCACTGCGTCCCCAGGAAGCCAAGGCCCCTTGTTCGAGTCCTCCCTCCTGGAGTGGACAGGGTGAGGATGGGGGCTTCACAGGGACTGAAGCCTGGCATGCAGCCCTTAACCATCTCCCCATCCTTCAGGTCACCTGTGTCCAGGTCACACCGGTGGGCCTGGTGCCCTGTAACGTACCATGGATGAGACCAAACTCAGGGTGTTGATAAAGGGGGGCTCTACAGGCAGACAGGGCAGGGTGTGAATCCCAGCCCCGCCCCACCCCAGCTGTGTGGCCTTGGAGTAACCCACCAACTCTTCCTTGCATGTGCCATTGAAACTCCGGTTTGTCATGGTCTCCATCTCCCCCGCCCCAAAGGACCCACCTGCCAGCCAGTTCCCACAACTGCCCATCTGGTTGTAACCTGGGAGCTCTTCTGTGGCGGTTGGGGGTGGTGGGGGTGGTGGTGGTGTTGCTTCTGGTTGTAGTAGGTCCACCAGGACTGACTCCCCACGCCCCACCCACGGCGGATGGCCCCGTCAGTTGACATTTAAGCCTCAGCTGGGGAGAGGCTAGGTGTGACAGGAGGCAGCTCCCAGGACAGCAGGCTCTCCTCACTGAATGTGGCTCTGCCAGGAGCTGCCTGCTTTCCCAGCTTTCTGGATCAATAAAAAGAACTTCCAGCAAAGCCCACATCCCTTGTGTGAAAAGTATGTGTGAAATTCCAGCAAACAAACAGCAAAGTCGGTTGGAGGGACAAGGCAGCTCCTTCCAGGCAAGGGGCCCAATCCCTGCCCTGTACCCCTCTTGGCTGAGGCCGCAGGGCTGACCCCCACCTGCCAACCCCTGTTTTTTCAGCCTGGAGCTGGCCTGAATAGGAACTGCATGCAGACACTTCTCAGGCACTTTTTTTTTAATTTCACATGGCCTGTGGGTGCCTCTTGTTCCAGGTCTGGGGCCATGTGTCCAGGTGTCTGGAGAGTGGGCTGAGCCTAAGAGGGGAGCCCCGCTCCGGAGATGCCAGATGTCCAGGCTGTCACTGTAGACTTGTAGGGACATACAACTCCAGGCCTTGCCCTCCCCACCCATGAGTGGTCCTGAGTTGCGGGCTCCTGTTCTGCCACATGGGGCGGGCAGTGCCAAGGGTGGCCTCCTCCAGCCTCCTGTGTTCAGGGCACAGTGGACCAAGGAGTGATGGCCACCTTCGAGTCTCCCTGGGATGTGAGGTCTGTAGTGCCTGGAGTGGAGGCTGCCTACCACCTCGTGTCCTGGCTCCAGCCAACAGTCTTGATCGCTATGGAAGGCTCACTGTTCCCTCGAATGCACGTCGGCCAGGTGGCCACTGCCGGGCCAGAATACGAGTCCAAGACAGACTTGGGGCAGTCAGGGGCCACAAGTGTCCAAACCCCTTGTGCAGGGTCCTAGCCCTCAGACTGTCCCCCGAGCTGTCCCTCAGTGTGGGTCTGAGCCTCCAAAGCTTCGCGGCTGTGTGGCCTTTACTCTGAAGACTCATGTCCAGGTTATAAGGGAGATGCAGGGCGTTAATATAAAAGTTTGTACATACACATATAAAAAAAAATTTGGTCTTCTGTTAAGGCTGTTACAGTTTAAAGTTATGTAAACCACGCCCAAAGAAACAGTGACCAGAAAAACGTACAAAAGGGGAGCTGGGAGATGCCAGGCTGCCCGCCATGATTCAGTGCTCTGGGCGGGCAACTCTGTGCGATGTAGGGGCTCAGCAAGGGCAGCCGGGCCTCAGCCGGCCTCTCCCTGCCTGCACTCACTTGGAGTCGGTGCCCACCTCACATCGCTCTTGGAGCTTTTCATTCCGGATCCTTCTCAGACCACTGAATGCTGGCTCTGGAGCTCTGGCACCCAGCTCTGGCACCGGGCCGTCCTTGGATATGCGGACTCTGACAGCTGTGGGCCCTCAGCCATTGGCCTGGCCCGAGGCAGGGGGCAGGCAGTAGGTTGGGGGGTCCGAGTACCTCCGCTTGGTCCCAGGTGGCCGGTCGTCCTTGTCCAGGGGCTCCTGAGGGCCCTGAGTGGGCAGGTGAGTGCCAGGTGTGATATACACAGAGTGTACCTGGTCTGGGCGGCGAGCAGGTGGCTCTCGGCGCCTCACCGGGGTGGCAGCTTCCTGGGCACCTGGTGCCCGGCCAGGGAGATAGGAGGGCAGGCCGGGCGGGAGCTTGATGTTGGCCGTGGGCATGATGGGGGTCCGCCGGGGGGTCTTCACTCTAACCGTCATGAAGGACGACGGCCTTCGTCGAGGAGGGGCGGCCGCCTCGGGGAGGGGGCTCGGGGTGGGTGCGCTGGGGCAGGGGAGAGCAGGCGCGAGGGGCCCTTTTGAGAGACAGATGGCAGGGTTACTGCAGCTTCAGGGCCGGCAGACGGACCCTTGCCCGGGGGCCTGCTGGGTGTGGACATGGGAAGGAAAAAAGCAGACGCTACCTTAATACTGACCTTCCGAGGCCCCCCGCCCAGCCCGCTCTTCCAACAGGCTCTCGGTGCTAGCTGATGTCTCTGAGTCCAGGTTCTCTTCATCGGAGCCCCGAGGGTCCAGCTCTGGCAGCCGGTACGTGATGTCCTCCCTGGGGATGAGAGGGTCACAGTGTCCAAGGCTGTTCCATGGTGGAAGACTGCCCCCACGGAAAAGTGCCAGGCCAGTAGGGGACAGAGTAGGTCATCCTGGTCCTGGAGGGGACTCCCTGCTCCCAGCACCCGAAACCCAACCCCAAAAGCACACCTGGCCCAAAATGCCCCTGACTCAGTGAAGGTCATGTGAGGAAGGTGTCAGGCTGCTGAGGGAAGCCAGGCATCTGGCCTAGTACTCAGCTAGTGAAGGGCTCCTGCCTCAGGACCTTTGCACATGTTGTTCCCTCTGCCTGGAGTGCCCTACCCTATTCCTAAGACTAGGATGCCCAGGGGGCCTGGATTACACCTGTTCTCCTGGCATAATTTTTAAACAGCATCTCCGTTCATACTTCCATCTTGACCGGACAACAAACTGGTGGATCGCCCTAGCTAAGGCCAACTTTAAGACAAAGTTCAGGCATCACCCGTCTGTTTCCCTTCTCTCCCTATGGGCCACTGTGATTCCCTGTGGTCAAGCCAGGGGTTTAACGAGCTTAGGCTGTGTTTTAGGACAGCAGCACCCCGTGAGGTGGGCACTGGACCGCAGGACTGAGCCTAGCCCATTAGCTTCCTAACAGCCAGATTCCCTATAGTGGGGGGGGGGGCAGTGGATGGGGGCTGGACAGGGCGGCCGAGTGTGGCAAGGGTTCGGAGAGACACTTGCTTCTCCTCCTTGATGGACTGGATCCGCTCAATTAGGATCTCTTTCTCACGATCCTCTTCACCGCCGGCCACTTCCTCCTCTGGCAGCACCCCCAGCTCCTCCAGGCCACCGCTGCTGCTCATCCGGGTCTTGGGGTTCTTGATCTGCAAAGAGAAGCGGCAGGTCTGGCCAGCCCCTCTGGGTGGGTGGGGGTCAGTGCTTGTGGATGGAGAGAGGGTGGTGCAAGCGGCTCCGGGGGAGGTTAGTTCTGACATGGATGGCTAGGCTTAGAGAGGCTTCTCTGGGGATCATGCAGGGACCGAGTGGCCGGCATGTGGCTCATTAGTCATCTTCAGCACAGGCAATCAACAGGTTTCCCCCAGCATGCACTTCCAGAAGGTTAGGACACGCTCGGTCTATCCTACGAGGACCCTAGGGGTTGAGAGGAACCCCAGCATGCACCGCACTGGGAGACATGCGAGGAGGACCCACCGTACGTGTACATACCAGGACCCCCTCATAAGGAGACGAAAACCCCAGTTTGAGAGGCCAGGGCTGGGGGAGAGATGAAGAGTGGGTGACCACACAGGGCCATGACCAGGGCACAGGCGCTAGTCATGAGCATAAGGCCACGTCTGACTGTCGGGACAAGGACAGGATCCTCCCACAGGAGCCCGGGACGGGCCCCTTATCCCTCTACCCCACACTGTGAGGCCACTTCTGCTGTGGCAACGTTCCCTTGTGGGCAGGGCCCAGGTCAGCCCGGGACATGGCTGGAGGATGACCAGGACCACCACCAAGTAGGTGACAGGACCCCCACTGCTGAGAGCGGCAGCTGGCCTTGAGGCTGAGCTAGGATGGTGGTCTTTTGGCCTAGGTGAGGAATCAGCCCCTAAACATGCTGCCACAAGGCCCCAGGTCAGGCTGCCGGTGGCCCAGGGTGTGCTGGGAGAGTGTGCTGGACGGATAAGTGAGACCCCGCCCAATGTCCAAACCCCGCCCACCGGTCCCCACTCCCACAAGGCCCCGCCCCCACCGAAGCCCCACCCTGCGTTGCTCACAGCGTTTTGTCGCAGAAGAGAGAGCCTCCGGAAGGCGATGCTCTCAGCAGCCTCCAGCTGGGTGATCTCCTCCATCTTCACTTTGTACTTCCTCATCTGTTCTTTGATCAGCATCTCCACGCACCTGTGGAGAAGGCGACTCAGCTACCGCCTTGGGGGGTACGGTCAACATGGGGGCCTGCATCTAGGGAGATGCTGGCCCGAGACTGGGGCATGGTGGCTGAGACAGAGACCCAGAGACCAG